CATGAATATTCGTCAAGCTGCTGTCATCAACCCACACGCTACGATCTGTTTGTTTTACAAAACGCACTCAAATTTCAATTACCTAACACAGAATTCGTGATAAGACTGTCGGTATTCATAAACCCATGAGTTATAAGCTAAAGAATGAGCTCAATTTGAACAATCAACCACATGTTAACAGCCAAAAAACTGATAATTTTGATCATTGATCGTATTCTTGAAAATAAATAACAATTTGCAAACAAATATGCTGTCCACATGCAAACAAAATGAACTGAAAGTTCACAGTACTGACCCTCTGTCTGGCGGATCAAGCTAATCAGGTCAGTGAAGAGGTAGTGCCACAAGTTTATCTGCTAATGTAGTTGGAGCGATCGATTATCTGAATCACCAAAGATTAAAGATATCAATGGTTCCTATCTGTTTGTAAAGTGTCAAAACCTTGTCCATCTGAAATTATTCGATGAATAGTTAAATAAACGAACAACATCCGAACGGAAACGATGATGATGATGATCCGAGCTGGTGGTAAAAGTTAAACGACTTCAGTAAACAGATATACTATGCATAATACGGAGTTGGGGGAGGAAGGAGCCATGCGTAACAGCTTACCGGCTGGAGGAGGGATTTTGTAACGCATACATGCAGGATGCACCAGTCGACCGCATGGTCCACGACATTTGAACATTTGACCGGGAGCATTGGAATACACCTCACACATGTGACAAACCGGTTGATATCGATATTGCGCGGGGGATACGATTAATCGATGGATTTCAATGTCCAGTTCTCGCTGCTCTGGCTGTTTTTTGGACGTCTCTGTGAGGCGTTTCTGATCAAATAAAGATGAGTGAGCAGACCGATAACGAATGACGGGATTCACTTATTCCTAATAGAGTCGGTACGTCATAAGCACGAATAAACCGAATGGAGAACAAACACAGAGTATGGAGCAAATGGACAGTGAAAACAAAGTGCGACATGTCGGGGGACTAACTGCGCTACCTAGTGCGTCTCAAAGACGTGAAGAAGGTCGGCAAATTGGTGGCATTGTGAAAAAGGCGGTATCAGGTTCACTGAATAAACGTTTGCAGAACAGCAGCGACACTAACATAGGATGTGGTAGGTTTTCGTTTGGCAGGTGTCCTCCAAATAAAACGTATACATCAGTAGTTCAAACACGGTACTGTGAAGGGAAAAATGTGTCCCGTTTCATTTATCCGGAAAGGTTTTCAATGACGGAAGGGCAACTTTAACTACCGATCACCTTGTGATCGTGCATGTAACAAATCGAGGTGCATGATTGATGGTTGCAAGAACTGAACAGAACTGAACGCCACTTTTTCCAATCTTCTTCCCCCTTGGCTTTATTTCTGACTGAGTAATAAATCTCTCACTCGTCGGATACCACTCACCTTCAGTCCCCTAATTACTTCCGCAATCTTTCTTTTATTTCTAAAGCCGGTGTTTGCGCTCATATCCATCATTCTGTAGCTTCCTCCCGACTTCTCCAACCGTGAATTCCAGCTTACGTGGCTGCAACTTCGGTTCCTGTCCTTCAACCACTATTTTTCTATTGTTTATCGCTCCCCGAACAGCAGCGATTCTTCTATTTTGATATTCTATCTTCCAACATTAGGACACTTATGGCAGCAGACCCTAGCAGCGAAATTAACATTGTCGGAGATTTCAATATACACAACAAGGAATGGCTGAAGCACCCCTCAGACAATACGTTCGCGGGATGCGAAGCCGAGGCTTTCGCTGTGATCAACAACCTAAGTCAACTAGTTGGCCTCCCCACTCGCATCCCTGATCGTGTTGATGACCGCGCTCACACCCTTAGCCCCATTTTCAAATCCATTCCCTCTTCTTTCTCCAAAATCGCTTCCATTTCCCCATTGGGCTCATCGGACCATTGTTTTATTTCCTTTCTCACTTATTTCTCTCACTCTAATTCACCACCTAACTCCAGACGCAACATTTGGCTTTACGATTCAGCCAACTGGGACGGTTTTCGTGACTTTCTACCTTATTATCCCTGGGAGGATTGTTGTTTTAGGTCTGATGTTTCCACGTCTGTTTCAAACTTCAAAAGCTGTATCTACATCATCCACACAATCCAAGTTTAAATTTTCATTTGCACGTGTCTCTTCATATTGTAATTCTGTTTTGCCATTTCTAGCACGTCTACTTAGTGACACGGAGAAAGTTTCCACAGAATTGCGCAATCTCTTGCTTCACTGACAAACACAATATCTACTGCTTTCAGTTTCATTATGTATGATTTTGTAAAGATGAATCCACAACCACTGTGTGAATGCTGAAAATTCACCCATCCTGGTGCATAAGGCTACTATTGACTTGACTTGACTTGTTATCCCATTTCCGATAACTTAATTAATTACTTCACTGAGGCTGGCTCCTTGGAGGATAAGCCGGCTACAGACACGATCACGACCAGGATCATGAAGTTCCTTGGGAGCTTGGTACGAGACTTCCCCAGCGTTACTCGGCCTATTTTATTTTGAGGGCGCAACTCTGGCCTTTGCACAACCAAGTGCCAACTGCAAGGCATCAGGAAGTAATCCCTCGCTTCGAAAGTGAGGGGTCAATGACTGGAGTTTTAAAAGGCTAGTCACACCGACCTTTGACACGACACCGTCATTGGGCTTGTGCGGCTTTTAAACAGGAGACAGGTGACTAGCCTGAAAAACTACACCCTGGTAGTGCCACCGCTGTTTGTTCGCGACTGCTTATTTGCTGCGATATGCCACAACTTATTCGCAACCAACCTTTTTCGGTGAAAGTATCTCCCTATCCATAACCGGAAGCGCCTGGTAGCATTGAGCTCTGCTTAGCCCGAGGCGATAACTTACATGGAATGGATTGGCCTACGGAGCCGAGTTAGTGTCCGCAAGGAGATAACAGTGTCAATGGAACGTATGTAATATGACTATCGGTATAAAACTGGCAAAACGGCACCAACACTGTAGAAAACAAAATGCAGAGCAGAACAATATGGTGAATAAGTGGACATGTGTGTTCCACACTACGAGTGTTTCTTTGCCACATTACCTTCTGTCCATGTTTTATTTTTGTTGAGTTAAAGAGATGAAAAGCATTGAAAACACTTCATAACAGTATTTTCGATTCGAAATCATATATCTTACGGTTTCTAATCTATCACATGAATTGCATGTTGAATCGTCAGCGGATCAACCGGGGGAGAATGCAGCAGTAAACTTCTACGTGCACTCACATTAGGTCAAGGATTGACTATGCTGTAACGTTTCTCTCAGTTATAAACTACGATCGGTGGGTATCTGTGTAGAAGTTACCGGAAGCGTTATAGTGATTACGGTTAGCGGATGGTTGTCTGTACTTTCATAAATTAAC